GGAGGCTGGAAGAGCTGATCGTAGGAGACCAGATTGGTGTCGCATAAGTGAGATGCGGCTTGGCTAGCGCTTTGAATGTGTTCGTCAAAGTCTCTTTCGCGCAGCCCCATGATTTGCCTGCGACGTCTCTGGCATGGTCTGCGAAGGATCCATATGGTAGGAGAGGGCGACCACCGGTATTCAGCATATTCTTCGTGTACGGTAGCGTTCCCTATAAATTTGCGTTCCACATGGCGGGGTTTTGTCTAGTTTGCTTTTTACACCGTTTTATTAAGTTGTATTTATAATAATACCCGGTAAAAGCCTATCGAGTGTACAATTATTCGATCATTCTTTCTTTTGACCGGTTCACTGAAACGCTTCTTAGCGCTCACGTACGAGACCCTCGTGTACCAGCCGATTACCTTCTTGCTATTTGGATCATGAAAATACATGCGTTTTGGCATCGTTCTTTAAGTATTTCCCTATGCACCCGAAACTCCTGTTCCCGCAACCAAATCTACCTGTCATCACCACCTGAAGCCAACTTTAGTAAAAAATAGGCTGCTTATGCTGAAAAGTGAAAATTAGTAGTTTGCATGCGGGTTTTACTTGTTTTGCCCATAGAAAAAGTATTTATTCGAAAATAGAAGTACTCACTCCTTTCTCAGAAGAGGAAGTCCCATGTTCGCAGTATCGTTCAAAGCTCAAGCCTATGCCTTGTAGGTTGCTGTTTAAATGGGGGTATTAGCTACCGTCAGTTGGTTTTTTGGCCAATCAGAAACTAGGAAGAGAGAGGTGAGTGAGTTCCGTTAGTGATCGATGCACAGTCATCAACGACTCCCAGAAACTCTATGCTGCCTGGTTGGTTTCGTTTGGTCACCCATTGTTTCGCTTGTGGGTTATTAGGCTATACCCCCAGTGTAGTTATTCTGCTCGTTTGACGAACGCTGGTTCTTGGCACTCCTCACTTAATGCCATATTCTTTCTTGCTTTTTTAGAGCCGTGCTGCGTTCCCACAACTGTGCTGCTATCCTCCTGGAGCAGCTACGTACCTCTCCCAGCCTTACGGTCGTGGTTAATGTGTGCGGCGTGCTGGGTGCCCTCTCCTCCATGCCGCCCTGTGATGTGAAACTCGGGGGCACCCTCCTGCTCGAATCAGCGGCTACTGACCACACTCTCCTCATTCGCCTGGGTGCCCTGGACATACTGCGCCGACTGTCACAGTCTCGGCACCAATTGGTGGTCAACAGTTCCAAGTTGCCCCTCGAGAATCTGGGGCGTGCACAGATGCTCGC